ATGGAATTCAGAAATCCTACTTTGCAAGTGAAATATCAGCATGATCCCGGCATCTAATCGAAAAAATAAAGGGCACACTTGTGATAGGTTATTGTCTCAGCTACAACATATCCGAAGCTCAGCGAAAACGAAGCTAAAACAACGGAGATTTTGCTCGCGAAAGACAGGAGTGTAGAATCCAGTTTTGAGAAAAAGTCATGTCCCATAGAGAATACACGCAAAATGCGAAAAATTGACATGCCTCCTTTAATCGCAAAAATACACCATGATACTTTTGTCAAAAATAAAAATTGTGAATACTACATTTGTAGAAAATTGTCTCAGCTAGAACATATCAAAATTAAAAAGAAAATTGATCCATATTTACAGAGATACAATCAATTTTCCAAAAATATGCTGACGTCATAATATGCAAATTGAAATTTTGAGTTTGAAGGCCATTATGATGACGTCATGAGTTAATTGAGGATAAAATGAGACATGAAATCATATCTGCAACTCATAATCTATCCAAATATGAAAAAATATTAGGAGTTTCTATCTATCCTAAAGAGTTACAATGAATTTTATATAGGCATGTTTTTGCCCATGTATTGTGGATAAAGATAACGCAAATCCGCGCGTGCTGTCAACTTTGACGGACGCTCATTGCGTTAATAAATGGTGAACAAATTATCAAAATGCTTGGAAAAATGTACCGAATATGATGACAGAAAAAAATCGGCGATTCTATGTTGCAAAATGCCAGTACGCGCGAAAACGCGCGCGCATGCGCGTGTGCGTAATTTTTTTTAAAATGCTCCATATGACCTGAAACGTATGCAAAAAAAATTTAAGACGATTTTGAGCAATTTAAAATTTTACGCGCGCGTTAACGCGCGCACAAACGCGTACGCGCATTTTTGCGTGCATTTATTGACCTGAAATTGACCGGTCGGATATTGATCTTAATCATGATAAATATGAATGAAAAATTACTATCCGTTATGAAGATATGATCATTAGTTGATTTTCACAAAATGGCGCCTGGATGACGTCACGATGACTTTGAGTCTTTGAAAAGTCACGCAGTTCTAAGTTAGACTAAGATCTATCATCATTGAAAGTTTCATGACAATGGCTTTATTCAGTCTTGAGATATCCTGCGAACAAATTCGAGGAAGAATAATAAAAACTAGACTTTAATTCGTCACTTAGACGAATTAGGTGATACGTATGATAATGGTCTATATAACGAATAATGCATTACACGATATATTATTTTGTAAAATGCTTCTCCCATTCATATGCTTCTCCCATTATGATCTATTCATATGTCAAAATTAAATTGTGTCTCCTTGATCATCATGGATCTAGGGAAGATAGATTGAAACAATATATGACCTTTGACCCTGTGCAGTAACCAGTTACACATTTGACTCTAATTTACATCATGAAGAACACCTTTCGACGATTTTTATCTTATTCAAAGAAATGAAAATGTAATTGATAAATGATTATCATCATTATGATAATGATGATCATGATGATCATGATCATGAGCGCGATCATGATATCTTATTGAAAAAATGAGGGTTGATTTAGATAGTATATAGTCTCAGCTACAACATACTCAAAAATCAACAAAATCCAAGCCGAAATAACGGCGATATTGCTCGCAAAAGACAGGAATGTAGACTCCAGATTTTAGAAAAAGTCATTTCCCATAGGGATTACACGCAAAAAGTAATGGATTAAGTGAAAATAGGGTAATAATGAAGTAAAAAGGGTTATTTATGACATTATTTGCGAATCTACGTGTTTAAATAATCAAAGGAGATGGTACAGTGAAGGTCAAAAGGAAAAAAAAAAGTGGGAAAAAAAGTGTTGGAGACACCCGGACTCGAACCAGGGATCTCGAGGTTGGAAGTCAAGTGCGTTACCGATATACCAAAACATCTCCCATAGCGATTACACGTAAAGGGGAAATGGAATTCAGAAATCCTACTTTGCAAGTGAAATATGAGCATGATCCCGGCATCTAATCAAAAAATAAAAGGCACACTTTTGTTAGCTCATTGTCTCAGCTACAACATATCCAAAGCTCAGCGAAAACTAAGCTAAGACAACGGAGATTTTGCTCGCAAAAGACAGGAGTGTAGTATCCAGTTTTGAGAAAAAGTCATGTCCCATAGAGAATACACGCAAAATGCGAAAAATTGACATGCCTCCTTTAATCGCAAAAATACACCATGATACTATTGTCAAAAAAAAAATTGTGAATACTACATTTGTAGAAAATTGTCTCAGCTAGAACATATCAAAATAAAAAAGAAAATTGATCCATATTTACAGAGATACAATCAATTTTCCAAAAATATGCTGACGTCATAATATGCAAATTAAAATTTTGAGTTTGGAGGCCATTATGATGACGTAATGAGTTAATTGAGGATAAAATGAAACATGAAATCATATCTCCGACTCATAATCTATCCAAATATGAAAAAATATTAGGGGTTTCTATCTATTCTGAAGAGTTACAATGAATTTTATATAGGCATGTTTTTGCCCATGTATTGTGGATAAAGATAACGCAAATCCGCGCGTGCTGTCAACTTTGACGGACGCTCATTACGTTAATAAAAGGTGAAAAAATTATCAAAATGCTTGGAAAAATGTACCGAATATGATGACAGAAACAAATCGGCGATTCTATGTTGCAAAATGCCAGTACGCGCGAAAACGCGCGCGCATGCGCGTGTGCGCAATTTTTTTATCAAATGCTCCATATGGCCTGAAACGTATGCAAAAAAAAATTGGGATGATTTGGAGCATTTTAAATTTTTGCGCGCGCGTAAACGCGCGGACGAACGCGCACGCGCGCATTTGCGCATTTTTATTGACCTCAACTTGACCGGACGGATATTTATTCTAATCGTGATAATTATGAATGAGAAATACTTTTCTGTTATGAAGATATGATCATTAGTTGATTTTCACAAAATGGCGCCTGGATGACGTCACGATAATTTTGACTCTCTAAAAAGTCACGCAGTTCTAAGTTAGACTAAGATCTATCATCATGGCAAGTTTCATGATAATGGCTTTATTCAGTCTTGAGATATCCTGCGAACAAATTCGAGGAAGAATAATAATAAATAATAATAAATAAATAAATAATAAAAATCTTGACGAAATCAAAAGGTGATACGTCTACGTACGTATCACCTAATAAATAATAAAGAAAAATCTTGACGAAATCAAAAGGTGATACGTTGACTTCGTTACGTATCACCTAATAATAGAGTAAATTTGTGTAGCGCATAATAAATTGTAAATTTCTCTATGCGCTTTACATTTGAATATATAAACAACACTGATACAACAATAAATAACAAAATAGATAAGCAAATGACAAAAAATATTTATGAAAAAGTAAACCAATTAATGCACCTATAATTACACCTATTAAATTAATTAACATTACATATAACAAATTCAACAAACGGACAGACACTCATCATGTCGAATCAGCCTTCCAACCAGCAACGGACAAATCAACTCTAGGAGGAGACCCTTGAAAACAAAAAGGTTTTCAGGGCTCTTCCAAAGCCGTCAATGCTCCCAGCAACTCGAAGCTGGTCAGGAAGCTGATTCCACAAGACAGGCGCTGCCGTTGAAAAGGCACGAGAACCATATGTTTGGGTCGATGTGATAGGGACAGTCAGGAGTTTCTTTGTTGAGGAGCGGAGATTTCTACGGGGTATGTAAGAGCAAATGATATCATGAAGATAAGTCGGGGATTTAAGAATCATTACCTTGTAACACAACATAAGAACTTTATACACAATTCTTTCTTTTACAGGTAACCAATGAAGGCGAGTTAACATGGGTGTTACTGGATCTCTCCAATTAGAGGCACACCATTAAGTTGGTTTGAAAGTTATTTTTGTAATAATACATTTCTATATGTAGGTTATAACCATAATTCTTCAGACTGTTGTTCTGTTACACACAGCGTACCACAAGGTTATATCCTAGGTCCTCTACTGTTTTTACTTGAAATCGATGATCTTACACATTCTTTTGACAAAATTTGTGATGACATCATGTACGCCGATGATACCATTATAATTTACACCCAATCTAACACTCATAATAGACAAAATAATATCAATACTGAAATAGTTAAATTCACAAAATTGTTCAAATCGACAAATCATTGACAATTCCTAGTAAAAACACATCATAATATTACCTTCTTCCATATAGGTAGTTTAATTGAAATTAGCAAATTCACTTCTTACAATCGACAATGTTCCATTAAATGAGGTTAAAAGTGTTAACTTTCTTTGGGTTCATATTGATTTTACTATGCATTGGGATACACATGTCCAAAAAGTTACTCAAATGGTAGCTAAGTATATTAGTAATTTAGTATATATTATATATATATACTATATATTATATTTATATAATATTTCACTTTTATATCGCGCTTAATACATCTACGATGTCTCCATTTAATTTACAGATATTGTATAGATTAGAAGACTCTCTTTCATCTTCTGCATTAATATTACTATATAATTCATTAGTTATGCTCTTGCATCTAAATTACTGTATTGCTGTTTGGGGCAATTGTCATCGTAATAAAATAGATCCATTGTTTAAATTACAGAAAAGGGCCCTTCGCATATGAATGGGATGTCCTTATCGTGCTCGTTCTGCCTCTTTGGTTAGACAATTGAAAAGGTTAAATAGTACTACTACTTCCTTTCTCTTCCTGTTCTATTTTACTTTTAAAATAAATTACCATTTGGTCTAACCATTTGTGATTTCTCAAATGCTCACTCGAATTACTAAATATATAATCATAATATCCGTTTTTAAGGATTTGTTTTCACTTAAAGACCTTCAATATTACTGGGCCAGAAGGGATTAGACCACACAGCGAGGTCACTGACAGGTGGCTATCTCATTAACTCAGCTCTCAACTAACATAAGAAAAAGAGGATGATGAGGGACCAACAGGCACCGATTGGGGAAGTTTTCTATATAGAGGGAGCAAGAGGGAGCAAGTAGCTACAAGTAGGACAGTGGGGCTTTAATGCCAGTTAAAACAAATAGCATCATGAAATCAGTGAGACATAATTTCCCTGTAAGACAAAGACATTTTTAAACGCAAGACAATCTTTTTTTCATAAAAAAATTCGAAGCAGTTTTTTCCCCTGAAATATGTATAGTTATTTTCCACAATCAGCACTCTGAACTGTAATGAATACACAATTAGTCAGCTTTGGATTTTGTGCTTTTGCCAGGTCTTACCAAATTAATACATATCGAAAGGCAAAACCAGAAAACGTATAATACTACCAATACGAACGCTATAACGATTCCAATGAGGAATGTATACACATCGAGAAGGTTATATTGAACGAAATTGAGTTCGTTGACAGGTGGTCGCATGTTAGCCCCACCAAACTTGATAGCGTGTTCGATCCAGAAAGCAGCCTTATCAGGTCCACTCATTGGTTCGTTGCGGTAAATGGCCGACACTTCTTTCGCTGTCTTGGTGTAACTGTTAAAAGGAGCAAAGTGAAAAAATAATCACAATAAGGGAGTTTCCAGATAGCACATGGTACAAATGATCCCAAATATCCACAGATCTTTTACACATTCATGGAGACGTTCTACTTTGAGCAACTTAGAATAATAACTGCCAAAGTCCTATAAATATGCTTCATGAATACCTTTTGTTTGCCCTCTTGAAAAGAATGCTTCCACCTGCGTATCTTAGAATGTACCGTTGGTGCATAAATGAATAATGTTACATAACTTTCATGAGCGCATATCCAGTATTCATCTCTGTGGGTTTTACCTTTTTGGTACAAATGATCTTTATCTGCCCATGCGCAGATTGTATTTGTAAACTCCCTTATTTTCGTCTTCCTCCTGTTATAACCTTGTCATGCTTAAAACTAGAATTGCTTCTTGTTTTCCAAATCATTAACGGACAATCATGCAATACTAGTCATATTTTTTTATTTTTTTTTTTTAAAGAGAGAAATAAAATATGTCAAATTATGCTTAACGAACGACGTTTAGACTAGGCCCAGCTACGCCATGCCCATTTCAATACAAATCACTACGAACTGAACTAATACATTGTGTCATGCCTGCATCATCTCTCCTGAATTCGCTCCTTGCGATAGAAATTGTACTAGAACCTAACTATCTTGCATTCGTCTCGATTTTTGTTGAAAAATATATATTAGGGTAATAATTTATTGTAACTCATTTATTCAAAAATACTAACATAATATAGCAGTTGAAAAATCTATTTCATTTATGCGAAACATTTAAAGGCCAAGTCCACTCCCCCCAAAAACGTCTGTCGTATAACTTCACATATTATTTCGTCTGTCATCCCTCTTGACCTCCAATACCAACAAATGACACAATAATACACTTCAATTATTGTGGAATAGCCTGACAACGACATTTGTCTGCTATACAAACGTACCGCAGACAAATAATATAACTTTCAATAGGAGCAGATAAACAAGGGAAACCAGTCAAAAACAGTTTTAGTAAAATCGGATAACTTATGATTTTTTTTTTTAGTATGAAAAGTATGGAACAATGGAAATCACTACACAAATTGCCAATTTAGTTTTCAGTTTGTGACGTCATGGCCTCACTATTTATCAGTTGCTTTATCCGTTAATTTCCCTTTTATCCCCAAAAACTTGATTTCCCCATGCCTTTGCCCAGGTCATATGATTTGCAGGCATGACATTTCACGAAATCTTTTATGAACTTTGAAGAATTGATACTATTTTCTGAATATTGTATATTCATAATTGTTGATTCTTATATAAATAGTTTATCAAAATTCACATTTTTCATGATTTAACTGAAATAATTACTCTATATTAGTGTATCCACACAAAAACATATTACTATAAATATTGCTTGGATGCTGGTGTGAGGAAATAATATTCTTAGGGAGATTTATATTATCAATATAAGAAGAAGAAAAAAAATTGGATACTGAGGCAAAGACGTCACAGACTCATGAGTGATTTGCTAATTTGTCTTGTGATTTTCAAAGTTTGTCATGTCATTACAAATTCATAACTTTCTTAATAGTTTAACTTTTTTTGATTGGTTTGTCTGATTTTTCTGCTTTTATTGAAAGTAAGTTATTTTTGGAGCGGACTTGGCCTTTAACCCCAGAACAGCACCAACTTATTTATGCAATCTGCGTTCTGGCGATTGGAGTACAGAGGATAATAGCAGGTGAAAGAAATGCTTCAACACCACAAACACCTGGGAAGGAAGTATCCCTAAATGTGAATACATTTAGTTGATAAACGACTCAGCATAGTACGTCATGCAATCAAGAAAATGGCGATGCCCATGTCTTGCTGAGAAACTTTACTTTGTTCTTGCTTTATGCCTTTCTCATACACTTTGGCGGGGAATCTTGTTGATTGATGGGCAAGAACGCATTAAACCTCTCAAAACAACCAAAGTTATTATGTGGGGTTACTTATCCTTTAACAAATACATTTTCGTAGGGCTTTCGCAAATCCAGATTATGATTATGCAGGTCATGCGAGGAACGTGATCAGGAACGAAGGCAGAATCAAATTATACAGAGCGTGTAAAGCAATTTTCCCCACAAATGTCATTTAAATACCGTGTGAGTAAAAAAATGTTTACACCTAGAAAATTGCTAATTATTTTAAAAATCATCTATGAACAGTAAATTATTATACACGTGTGTTATCCCAAATGATTTGGTATCATTTTTGTGTGGTATGTGTTCACGCTTCGATGAACACGAAGCATTGTTTGCGAGAGATTTTAGATTCGCTTACATACAGAAGGAAATAAATGAATACATAAGTAAAAATTAAATAGAAACAAAATCTCAATAAACTCAAATTGAGCCATACGCGTATTCTTTAAGGATGCTAACGACTTTGCCCGTATGATAATAATAATAATAATAGTTCGTTCTTTTATAGCGCATTTCAGGAAGTGACGGGTACCTGAATGGTAAATGATTCATCTCATGGAACGCATCAGGGAACGCATTCCCCACTCCAAACCAGGTAACACCCCCCCCCCCCCCCCCCCCCTCCCGCGTGGGCCTCGTATCGTATGAAACTGCAGGGGCTGAATGTGTATAGAGGAATAAGCCTCGAAAGCATTAGTGCAAGGACCTTGAAGACTCCGTTTTGTCCGAAAGCCACAGATTATAAAACAGCTATAAGAAGATGAAGCTATGGAGTGGATTATCGAGGGAGGGGATCTCTTGTCAAGGATTTTTGATTTTTGACAGAAAATAAGAGCAAAGTGAAAGCAATAGATTCCCTTTTCTCCCCTTCCCCGTTCTTTGTCTGTCTGTCTTTGTCCGTCTCTTCCTGTGCCTCTGTTCCTGTGAGTTTAAAGGTAGAGACCAGTATTGGAAACGCCCCAATTTCAAAAAATGAAATGGAAGCTCTCATTACCAATCATGTGAAAGAATATGTTTTGACTATGTCATGATGATACAAAATTTGCCGGGAAACCGCCTACTAATATATTTGGTAAATTTGTTTCTCTCATGGTCTGTGAGAAATATAGGGTAGTCCCATAAACATCTTTCTGTGTATAGTGCTTGTAACTTTACGAAGAATGGGCCAAATTTCTTATCATTTTGATGATTCCAGAACCTTGCAGATGCTAGATGCTAGATGATCAACCTTTTCTCATCGATTCCACAACGTTTCTTTCACAATGCAATCGCATGACCATAACTGGTCTTTACCTTTAATAAGCATGTAGGCTATATCTGTTTTCAAAAGTAGCCAAATGCGTCGTTGCCAGGGATGGGGGGAGGCGATTCGAATGAACGCCCAGTGGTTTGTTATAAATTACTTTGTATATGCACGCAAGACTATTTTCTTTTCATTTAAACAAATTTTATTTCACACATGTCTTCCACACTTGTACCATACCCTTTTTGTTAAAAAATATATAGCAATACTAATTCTATGAAATAAGATTTCATCTCATATACAAATATTATCATCTAGACTATATGCTATTTTTAAAGTTAACAATACCTTGGATTGCCTATGACCTCTTCAATGGTTTCGTAGATGACATCAGCACTCAGGGACATTTTATCGAGTCTCTTGCCCATACCTCTCACCTCGATCCTGGCTGCGACATCGGGTTGGTCGCTGTGAAGAGGAATGACTACGATGGGTACACCGTGATAGCTGGCCTCCTGGAAACCATTATTACCTCCTTGGTACATCAACATTCGGGTCTTGGGATGACCTGGAGGAGAGGGTTATGTAAGATGATAAATACTGAGTCATAACACCGATCAAGCCTGAAATGCAGTAAACGGTATGTATATCATGAAATCAAAATCATAGGTGATAGACTGATAGAGTGATACGAAAATTAAAAGGAATACACGCAGTTCTACATATTTGCTAATAATAACTGCTCATGAATATGAACATTCTTTGATTTCAATGTGTGTAGGGGTATGTTTGTGTGTGGGTGTGTGTGTGTGTGGGGGGGGGGTAGAATAATGAATCAGAGCAGCCCTACGGCACGCATGCGCATAATCCCATTGCAACTTTTAATGATTTTTGACGAGTAACTCCATCCCCGCAGTGACATCAGGAAACCCCCAGCCATGCATGACTTATTTGGTCTATGGCTGCTCTTCAACGAACAGGAGTTAAGTCTTTTGTCAATTCAGTTTGTTGCTACAGCAGGCAGCCGGTGAAAACGAATTAGTTTAATCAAATTATAGAAATGCAAGCACTACTTTAAACAAACAGAACTTTGTTATTCCTACCTCATTTTTCCTGATTGAGGTGTCATTTGAAAGGGCATAAACTGAACTTTCTAGAAATGTGATTTTCCCTGTGAAATTCAGATACCGTCCGCCAAATGATTTTTTGGTTTCTTCTCTTCAAATTGATTTTGATCACTCATGCGTAAGACATGTATCGAATAAGTTGCATCAAATGAAAGAGGAGGATCTAAGATTTACAAACATGTGTCGTTTATTAATTATCATTGTGATGAAGTTATGATAAAACATCGATAATTCTCGGTTTCGTTTTCTCTGGGACGCACTGTATACAAAAGGGAACGGCTATCTTTGAATTCTTTTAAAGTAGATATTCATTGATTCTAAAAACTAACTTCATTTTCATTATTGGACAGTTGAATCTTTGATTCAACAAGGTTATCAAAATTCAATGCTTGGAAACATTCGAAGTAATGATTATTATAAATTACAAAACGCTTAAATACAGCCCCGGCATAGCACATGAAGAGCTCTCCGAACGCTACTGGGATGTGTGAGATCACAGTATGGACATGATTTGCACAAGCAGACGATGTCCCATGACATCTCACACATTTTCAGTGCCTTTTTCATCTTCTCTTGAGTTCTTTCTCTTTCTTCACTGCTGTCAGGCTAAATGTATTATCTATTGCCTCACTCTCAACCCCGCGCATGGTTTTATTTTGATGACAAATGCAGCGATACAAAAATAAAAGAATCTGTCGCTTGTAAACAAAATAAGACGCCATTGTATATTCAGCTGCACACACCGCGGTATGTTCGGCGTTTCAAGAGGGAACAAATGCCGTCCTTAATATCATTCCGGGGGTTTTCAATTTGAAAGTCTGGCTTATTTGATTGTTAATTAACCCCTATCCTGTGTATTTACAAACAAAAGATTTTATTTATCAGAATCGGTTTCATATCCCCTTTTGAATGGTTTGTAATGCCATCACATTTATATACACTAAACTCATTATAATAGACCATTTTCGTAATGTAACCAAATTTAATGCATAAGTCTTTATGAAGTGCCTCAATACAAATTATTTCATTCACCTGATAAGAATAATAGTATTTCAATAGACAGAATCCGAAATGCATACATTAGTTGTTGCCAGGTTGGACAAACATTATGGCTTGACCTACCTTGCAACACTTAATATATGCAGTTTGCATTCTGACTATTGAAATACTATTATTCTTATCAGGTGAATGAAATTATTTGTATTGAGGCACTTCACAAAGACTTATGCATTAATTTTGGTTACATTACGAAGATGGCCTATTGGAGAAATAATATCTTTGCAATTATGTTCATTCTTTATGGGATGTCGTCTGCTTGGGCTTTGTAACTGCCATTTTAGTAAAAATTATTTAGGATAATGTAGGAGAGTGGCTATCTTCACTTATTTTCTGCTTTAATTTCACACCTCAAAATATACTTTTTGGTTTATATGGACCAATGGTTGCCGATTAGGTTTTCTATATAGAGGGAGCAAGTACCTACAAGTAGGACAGTGTGGCCTTAATGTAGGGGATGCTATGTTTATTATTATAAGAAATTATTAAAGATAATAATAAGTTTGTGATAGACTGCATACCGAGAAGATCGTTTTGAGGTAGCCAGGGCATAGCCTTCACGTTAGAGGGTAGCTCCCATTCAGGCAGTTCTTTGAGCTGCCAGATGACCTTCTGCGGCAATCTTCGGAAAACTTCGGCAAACATCGTCACTAATTCGGGTCTGATCGTCGTGATGGACGTCGAGTAGGTACCGAGGGTGAAGATGATAACGCCATGATCTCCAGAACTCTGAACAAAGTCTTCTAACTCCTATATAGACAACGAAAAGAAATTAATCAATACTGAGACATCTTTCTTTTCTTTTCTTTTTTTTGGCGGGGGGGGGGTGGATGCTTGGTTCTGATTCCGTTTTTAGTTTTGAGCTGCACATACTGGCCCGAATTCACAAAGCAAGGTTTGAGCTCAGACCAAGGTTTGAGCTCAAACCTCCTTTTGTTTCGCCAAACCTCCTTTTGTTATTTACAAACCTGGTTTGTAAATAACAAAAGGAGGTTTGGCGAAACAAAAGGAGGTTTGACCTCAAACCTTGGTCTGAGCTCAAACCTTGCTTTGTGAATTCGGGCCGTTAGGTATGAAAAATATTTGGCACTTTCAACACATGCACTCAGTGGTTGGTCCAAGGGGCATGGGGAAGCGCCCCCGGTAAAACCCAAATCTGGCATAAAGGCCTATATATATATATATATATATATATATATATAAACATTATTTTGTTGTATCTGTAGAAAACCGATTTACCCTCTGATTGTGCCTCCACTGATATTAGCCCCGAAATTATAACCGATTTGAATTGAATTGAATTGAATTGAATTTATTCACCACTTTCATAAAAACATGCAAAGGCAAACAATATTTACGTAGAACTTCAATAGACGTGTGTTTTCCACTTAAGATCTTTATCAATATTAAAGCCTACAAGAACTTGGTTGAATTCGTATGTTCAATCAGATGTCCATTCATATATATTTTTTACCTCACTAGCACACGTCTTTGGGAAGTTAAATAACATAACATTGGTTTTTTCATAGTTAAGTTGCAGTTTATTTGCTTTAATCCACTCACTAACTTTTAGAAGCTCATTTTTAGATTTTTGATCAGGCATTCAACATCTTTGTGCTTATAAAATATATTTGTATCGTCCGCGAAAAGTATAAAATTCAAAATGGGAGAGACTGAATGTAAATCATTTATATAAATTACAAAGAGTAGGGGTCTATAATTGACCATTGCGGAATACCACAGGAAACTGATTGTAAACTTGAATTTTTAGAATTGAAAACAGTGAATTGTTTGCGATCATTTAGATAACTGCGAAATAATTTAAGAGTAACACCACGAATTCCATAATAATAAAGTTATGAAAGGAGAATATCATGGTTAATTGAATCAAAAGTTTTCTTAAAGTCTAAAAATATACCAACAATGATTTCTCTGTTTTCAATTGCCTTTGATACTTGTATTGACAAATCTAAAAGAGTATGCTCAGTTGAATACCTGGCCCTAAATCCAAACTGCTTTTTATAAAGTATACTATGTTTATCGAGAAAACCGTGTAGTCTGGTATAGATGCATTTTTTCAGAGACTTTAGAGAAGAGTGGAAGTAATGAAATGGGTCTGTAATTTGAGAATATATCTTTTGGTCCCTTTTTATGTATGGGAATAATTTTGGCAATTTTCAGGTCAACAGGTACAACACCTTGCTCAATACATGAGTTGAAAATATTGCACAACCGTTTAGATATCATGACATGAATAACCTTTGTCACTACAGAACAATCAATGGATTCAAAACCAGGAGCTTTACTATTCTTGAAAGACAGAGCATTATTAATTATTTCTTTTTCAGTGAGGGTTAAAAAATATGCAGTATGAGGAAAATTTCTATTTAAATAAGATGTACAATTAATATTACTTACGTTCCTGTTTATACAAGCTTTTATATTCTTAAGTATTTAGTCTTCTATTTCAATCCTTATTGCTTTTTTGATGCATACCATTGATTTGGAGTCGAAAATCACGTAAGAAATATGTGTTCTTTTGCTCTTTAATTAAAATCATGGTTAAGTATCTCACTATCATCACCATGCTCATAACTACCATCATCTTCATCACCACCAGTCCACCACCATTATACAATAGGGACTTTTAGATTGAGTGGACGAGAACACGACGAACGCCGACTGATCATGCGTGTCAAAGTGCTAAACTTCCCATGTTGACTACAATTAGAAATCTTTTAGATTGCACTCAACGATATACATGCATGAAGGAAGTAACACTATGAACATCACGGACAAAATATACAGTTCCTCATTCTACCCTCAACAATAGGCCATTTTCGTAATGTAACCAAATGTAATGCACTTGATTTCATTCACCTGATAGAAATAATAGTATTTCAATAGTCAGAATGCGACTGCATAATTATGTTAAGTGTTGCTAGGTATAGGTCAAGCCATAATGTTTGTCCAACCTGGCAACAACTAATGTATGCAGTTGCATTCTGTCTATTGAAATACTATTATTCTTATCAGGTGAATGAAATAGTTTGTATTGAGGCACTTCACAAAGACCTATGCATTCAATTTGGTTTCATTACGAAAATGGCCTATTGCTGTGGTAGAACATCCCTTCACTGCTATTGTGTAAAAATGTGTAGAACAGGTGAATATGCATGTGACACCTGTTCTACACATTTTGACATAATAGCAGGGAAGGGATGTTCCTTTGTCTACCTGAGGAACTGTATATTTTATGCGCACGCGGCATATACTAGTACCGTACTAGATTTAGGAAAATCAAGGTTGATGCATTCTCGATCGCCGACTGAGACGACGAGACGCATGCGCAGTGCCTTAAAATGACGTCATACGTTGCAGTCAAAGCTGTCAACGTGCAAATCTAAAAGTCCCTATTAATTCATCATCATCATCGTCATCATTGTGATCATTCCCCACGTACCTGGGTGAGAGGGGAAGCTGGTCGGCAGGTTAATCCACCTACTAGTACAACGTTTGGTGTGAGAGCGCGGGGGAAGTCTACAGCAAAGTGGGTATTAAACAAAAAGATATCGGCCTTTGCGTACATTTCTAGCACATCGAAATCGTGGCAGTTTTGACCCGTTTCTTTCTGTATCTCGCAGAACCAGCTGCTTACGGTTTTAGACACGAATCGCCACTTCCAATGCTCTAGCACATTCATTGTTCTCTGAAGAAATGTCATTCTATTGGTATATCCAGTACCGAACTCGGGCTGGTAGGCGCGGTTCAATGTCGATGATATATCCTCTAATATCGAACCAATCAGATTGGCTGCCGGGGTCATAGCTACAAGTGGAACTTTCCTACTTTTGTTTGTCTTCATTTCCAAGAAATCTCTGATGAAATATCCACAATTCCACGCTGTATCCACAACTATCCCATCGATCCCCTCTATGTTTCCCATAAAGGCCTTGTCTCTGAGTATAGATAAACAGTCGTTTATATTATGCTCCACTATTTTAAGCCCAGTCTTAAGCTGCACCTGTGAGCTTTCGAATGCATGTTGGCCAATGAGATTGCTGAATACGTCAACGATTTCTTCTTTGGGCACCGAGTGCTTGAAGATCTGGAATGAAAAATTGGAATATGCTGGGTCTTCCGCTCGATGTGAGAAAGCCTCACTGATGAGAAATGTAACATTGTGACCTTTCTTCAAAAGGCTCTCTGCCACCTTAGATCCGGCAAAGAAATGGCTTCCCATTCCATAGTAAGATGACATAAGGATATTGAACCCAAATGTACAAGAGCAACATCCAAGAAGTATGAAAATAAATGAAGTAAGTGCAACACATCGTGTGGAAGCCATAGTGCTTTATATTACGCATGCAGTGTGGATTTGCCAACGTCTGCATCCTGGGTGTTGTACAAAACCCCCGTCTGGTATACGTGGATCACGGTAGAGTGAATAAGTATAAAACTCTTCTGTTCCGTATCTTAAGACTTGTACCCCGCATTCACACGTCGGAGATATTCTTTAAAGCTACTATATAGGCCAAAAAATGAAAAGGTCAAATTCCAACGGCATTTGAAAGATAATACAATATTAGAACTTCACCCCAAAGGGGGGGGGGGGGGGCTTGAAAATGTCTTTATATAAGTGGGTATAACGACTATTAGTTGTCGAATCGTCTTAAGAGCTATAGAGCCAGTAAGTAATAGTCTGATTTTCAGACCATTGAACCGAATGGTATACGTTTTATGTTGCGCAAAGATTTGTCACATGTGGCATCCCTGACGAGCTGGCCTCAGATGGTGGCCCCGAATTTACAGCAGCAGCCACACGTCGGTTCCCCAGGACTGGGGTATCCATCATCGCCTTTCCTCCGTGGCATACCCCCATAGCAACTGTCGTGCTGAAGTGGGTGTTAAGACCACCAAGCGCCTTCTCCTGGGCAACGTACACCAGCCCTACCGCGGTGTCCTTGACATTGACGCATTCCAACGTGCGATGCTTTAGTACAGGAACACGCCTGACATGGACACCAAGCTCTCGTCCGCCATGTGCGTATTCGGCCATCCTATTCGGGACTTCATTCCGGTGGCTGCCGGTAGATACGAGCCTCACCGGTCCGGCACTTGGCGTGAGACCTTTGGGGCTCAGGAAGATGCACTGCGCAATCGCCACATGAGAAGTGCTGAACGCTGGTCAGAGCACACCAAGCGGCTTCCGCCCCTTACAGTTGGTGACCATGTTCGCGTACAGAACCAGATGGGACCACACCCCCTTAAATGGACCTGTCATGCCCCCTGCCCAGGCAGCTGCGACGACCCCTGCCGCTTCTTCTGGGACGTCCCATGACCCGCCCGCGTCTTATTTTTTCGTACCACGGCGAGGCCGGATTCCTGTTTTATCATGAATATTCATTAGGCAGGGTCGGGGAAAGTCTCGATTCTCTTAAATATTCATATCGAGGTGGGATCAATGCACGACGCGCGCTATACTCGCACAAAGTGAGAAGGTTTAGTTCACGGAGAATGCATATGGGTGAGTAATTGATTGAAATATCAGTAGATTAAGAGAATTTAGTCATTAATTTGAAAAAGCTGTAATTCGTGATCTACTGTAATTTCTTTACATTTTGAGACTGTTCTCAACAGATTTGTGGGGAAAAGGCTAGGAAAATATTTCTCTTGAAATTGCACTTTGATTTTCATCGTCGTGAAGTAGTTTGACTGCGGTTTGCCTTCATGTCATCCTTTAGAGCCCCGGGGTTCCGGCAGGCCCACGTTGGGGAATTTCGGTGCTCATCTGCATCAAGATAAAACTTTCTGATCAGGTTTTATTCCAAATTTGATCGTCATCGTGAATATAATTCACCAATCATCCATTGAATTTAAATCTAGATTTAACGTTACACCTTAAAATAATCTATGAAGTATGATTTCTTTAATAATCCAAGAGGGTTAATTCTTGTGTATATCTTTAGTAGATGTCGACTCTGTTGGCTATACTAGTATTACTAAGACTAAGTGCTATCCGTTCGCTCAGTTGCATCATTGGTGCGTGTCAACTTTTAGACCAAAATTGTTTGTGACCATGGATAATCAAACAGCTCCAAACCATATTTCATTTAGACGTAAACCTGGAACTTATTAATAAAAATATTCAAAAACAAACAAATTAGACCTAGGATTCATTTATTTAATGTTCAGATGTTGTGTGTGTCCAGTGTGCTTGTCAAGTTGTCATAACTTTTCTAGATCTAGACCTATATTAAAGATTTTTTCTTCTCCAAAGTGTGCAGTTCATTTGATAAATCTATTTATTGTTGGACGTTGTATAAGAGAAGACCCCTAGGGTAGTCGACAATTATGTTTACTTATACGCAGAGGCGGCGGAGCCTTTGGGCGGAGCAACTTCCAAAGTGGGGGGGGGGGGGCACCAACAAAAAGGGCACTTTCTTGAGAAAAGGGCACCTTCAGAGGGAAAATATACCATTTTTTTTACATTGGTATATACCCCTATTTTGTAATTACATTATCAGGGATGATTTCAATATTTGTTTCTCTTAATACAGCATTTAAGATATTGCTTAAGTATCATACTTTGCAGTTTTTGGCTTGCAGTGCGAAAAATTACATCTTATAAAGAGGAAAACCCAATCCTGATGGGATTATATAAGCACAATCTCATAACGGAAGACTGAATAGATCTGTGATAAGTTACATAATTATAACGTCTATAACTATGGGCAAGCGTAGCGAGCGAGCTTTGTGGGAAATTGCTTTTAGTCGCTTGAAATTAGGGACACGTTTAATGATGAGAGGAAAAGGGGACACTTATCGAAAGGGTTAAGACACTTATCAGAAAAGAAAAGAAGCATGTGTCAAAGTACAAAGGCTAATTATCAGAGGTGAAAATGGGGCACTTACACCTAAACAAAGAGGCATGCACCAGGGATGATAAGAACATGGGCATTTGTCGACGGAAAAGAGGCACCCATCAGATTTTGATAGGGGGCATTTATAAGCAGTGAAAAGGGGCATTTATGAAAAAGGGATAGGTTCTTTATAAGAAAGGAAATAGGTTACATATCATTGTTAAAAGGGTAATGAAAAGGGGAAGTGGCTCTTATTAAAAAGAAAAAGTGGCACATGTTTAAATAAACGGGGCACTTATCAAAGACGAAAAGTGGTACCGGTAATTATGATAAGGGGTAAGGGTGCTTATAAGGAAAAAAGGCATTATATAGGAAGGAAAAGGAGGACGTGTCAAAATAAAAGGGGCATTTATAAGAGATGAAAAGAGTACTGACTAGGAGGGGAAGGGGTGCTTGTCAAAGTAAAACAAGTATCTCTCAGAAGTGAATAGGGTCATTTACAAGAGATGAAAAGGGGCACTTAAGAGAATGAAAAGGAACTATTTTCATAGATGAAAAGGGGCATTTATGAGAAGGGAAAGGGCCTATTTTTAAATGGGGGCACTTATAAGAAAAAGGGGCACTTATTAAAAATGAAAGGGAGCACATGTGAAGATATAAGGTGCGCTTATCCAAGTTAAAAGGGGTAGTTATTAAAAGGGGAAGGGGCACTTTAAAAACTTAATAGGGGCACTTGTCAGAGTAAAAGGGGCACTTTCCTATGCAAAAAGGGGCACTTTTAGGGTACTTGACCAAATGGGAGGGCACTCTGCCCCCCCCCCCCTCTCGGAGCGCCGCCTCTGCTTATATGGTATGTAGTCCTCTTCTTGTTATAATAAACTAATTCTACTTAGTACTGCTTCGTGTTCATAGGCCATAGAAACCACTGTTTGATGCACAAGTTAAATCTTCCATTTAGTTTTACTTTGTACTGTGGTTCATTAAATAGGAATGTTGATTTCCACGCCATATTAAAATTAAGGCCAACCATGACATAAAAATATCTATTAATTTGAATTATGCTAGATCTATTTTATTTTGTTAAGGAGAAAGGGATGCCTTGATTGTCGTATTGATTTTCTTCTTCTTTTTGTTCCAAAAGTTTGAAACTGAAGAGCTGGAAGGAGGACATTACAACATCTCTTATATTTGCAAGATGAAGCAGAAAGTCCCATGCATGTACAGTTATCAGGTTATTTAGCACACACATATTAAACGACCACCTATTAATTCACTCAAAAGGAAATGGAACTAAGTTGACATTGCAAGCATATATAGTGGAGGGTATATTTTATTCTAGTTCTGCACCTAGTATACAAATATTGATGTCTTTTCTTTCTATGTTTACAAAGGAAAATTTGTCCTTATTTACAGGAGGTCCTGTGTTTAGAAGAGCCATATCAAATGCACATTGTAAGCACTACATGTAGGGTATACACAGGACCCCTCATTTTTTTTTTGTAAGGGGTACTTTCACTTCTTGAGCAATGAAGATGAAGAAGAACACAAAATAAGATTGATAAAAGTCTGTTTATAGGATGTATTATGGTTGATATGTATCCATCAGTATCAGTTTTTAATTGAAGTACATGTACCTACTTTGTTTTCTCTCATGTAGGATGATGCCTCTCTACAGTGGATGATGAAGGCATTCTGGTTTGCAAACTCAGGAGAGGAACAAAGAACAGATGTTGACGGGATCATATCTAGAGATGCGGGCCTACTACACTTCATACGAGCAAGTGTGCTAATATACATGAAGGTACCCCCAATAAATTTTTGTGGAACAAATGTCATGAAGAAAATTATAGATCTGAAACAGATATTTTTCATTGTCAGTTGACTTGTAAAAGAATAATTGACTTAATATCACAATTGTAATTTAGATTAAAAATTAAATGTCAATATAGATGAAATATAAGTCTACATTACGTATGTTTCAGTAGCATTATTTCCAGTACATTCGCTGGTCAAAGTTGTTTGGTCATTTTATGTCCCATACTTAACCGAGTATTATTCAATTACCGGTATGAGCACGAGTTGTATTACATTGTATTACTTATTTCATACCTTGTCTGATCCGAGCTCCAGCAGGCCTATCGTCTTAATGGGATCATCAGTAATAATTTAAGATGCGGTCAGTATTTAAACTAGTCTTGTACAAAAAATAGTTTAGGTTTGCCCACTAGAACCCCAAGTGAATTTCAGTCCTTCCTTTTTCTGAGCAGGTATCAGGGTGTATGTTATTAGTCATTGTTGATTTTTTATATATCTTATTTCATTTTTCCATTCAACAGACTTGGGTTATATTTTTTTCTGAAAACTAGGCTACAACTTTAGTGATGGATGCAGAAGATATATACACGAGACTACGTCTTAAAGATGCCACCCTCATATAATGAAAGAGGACAATAGAGATGGGTTTAAACTGGAATATTTACATGATATTTATATGTTATTTGTATTATATGTTTGTAGAATACTACATTAAATAAAGCTAATG